ATATAGAATTCCTAATAATATATGCCCTTATATGAATGAGTTATTATTTAACCATTTCTTTTATCATGGATGTTTGCCTCCAAGTTATTGCTAATATAAAAAATACTACAAACTTTCCTGATTATATACATTTATAATAGACACACAATTACTGATGACTTCCTGCATAACTCATAAGGGAGTTTTGGTTTTCCCACTTAAATTGCTGGCTCTTCTGGAGTTTATTTGCATATATATAAAATGAGCTAGGATCCATCATTAGTTTTCTGTTTTTGTCATTTTTTCCCAAATTAGCTAACTTGTACTGTAATCTTTCCAAAGAATCTATCTTTTCCCCCAGTTATAAAATAAACTGCCATTTCTCTCTAGACTGGTGTGCATATTTGTCATAATACAAAAAATATGATAAAATTAATGGGATTGGTGCTGACAAAAATGATTTTTCAGGGGCTGGCTAAGTGGCTCAAGTGGTAGAGCACCTGCCTAGTAATAATAATGAGGCCCTAAGTTTAAACCCCAGTATTGCCAAAAAAAAAATATTTTTCACCTGGAAAGATATTTAATTTTATAATATTATAAAATTAAACTCAGTGGCAGATGAAAAATATAAGGAACTATGACCAAGTAGGTTTTATTGTGGAAATACAAGACTCTTTTAGCACTTAAAAAGCAAGTAATGTAATTAAGTATTAAAAAATGAAAGAAAACATATCACAAGATCGTCTTGATGGGTATTGATAAAAATCAGCACATCATTTAAGTGTCTGTTCCTGAAAGACTAATAATTACAGGGAACTTCTTTAATCTGTTAAAGAGTTTCTATGGTCTCCCAAGAGTTCCTTTTGAGATTGAGACTAAAACAAAGACACCTATATTGTCCATGACATTTTTTACTATCCTACAGGTCTTACAAGTGTAATGAAAGAACAGCAAATGCACAAAGATGCAAAATATCCACTGGCTGAAAAGCAGAAAAACAAAACTATCTCTATTTGAAAACTACATGATTGTGAAAATCCAAAGAATCTACCAATAAACTATGACAATTATTATTCTGGGCCTTAAATCCTGAATCCATTTTAAAAGTCAATTGCATGTGTGACTCCAAACAAAGTAGAAAATGAAGTTTGAAAAAGGAACTACTTAAAAAAGCAAGAGAAAGCATCCAATATTTAGAAATAAGCCTCAACAAAGATGCAGAAATCTTTATCAACACCCAAAGAGTGACAAGGATATACAATGTTCATGGATTCAAGTCTTCCAAACTGGAAGGATGTACATTTTATCCAAATTTATCTACAAATTCCATGCAATTCCAACTAAAATAACAGTAAGTGTTTTTTGTGCAAATTGACAAGATGATTCCTAAGTGCAAATGGCAATGTCAAGAGGCAAAATGTGGATTTAAAAAAATCAACTAAAAAAGAATGTGAAACAAGCACAACTGCTGACGGGAGTGCAGATTGGTACCACTACTCTGGAACATGACACAACACTACATCCCAGTAATTCTACAGAAAGGCAAACATATGGCTGCTGAATTCCTCATGCTCCAAACTAGAACAACCCAAGTGTCTATCAATAGTAGCATGAATTTCAAAATATTTATATATTGAAAAAAATTACTACATACAAATGGAAAATCTCACAAATGAATTGCAGAGTATAAGGCATCTCTGTGAAAGATTATAAAATGTATATATCTTCTAATTCCACTCATGGACAAATGAACAACAGGCTGGAGACAGCTCCTAGCAGGTGTAAGGCCCTAGGTTCAATCCCCAGCACCACAAAAAAAAAAATCTGATTAGAGTTATTTCATAAATCGCAATTGACTTGACCAAATATAATCTTGATATAAAACTGAAAAGCAAGAAAATCTAGTTGGTGGTGGCAGAAGTGCTAATAGTTACATTGGAGTGGTATAGGAGAGTGATTCTGGGGCACTGATGATCCTTTTTATATTATCTATTTATTTATTTATTTATTGCGGTACTGGGGCTTGAACTCAGCGCCTTCACCATGAGCCACTCCACCACCCTAATTTTTTTTATGTGTGTGAAGGGGTTTTTGAGATAGGGTCTTGTGAACTGTTTGCCTGGGCTGGCTTCAAATCACAATCCTCCTGATCTCTGCTTCCCAAGTAGCTAGGATTGCAGGCGTGAGCCACCGGTGCCCAGCTCCCTTTTTTTAAATCTTAAATTGCAACATGATTTATGTTTTTCTGAGCAATTAAGCATGAATAAAAACATCTTTAAGCATGCAAAATTAGAAAAACTCTGAACAGCATAGAGTATGGGAACAGTCCAGATCTATGAAATATTGCAATGTATTATGGATATGCATTAATTCAAAAGTGTCATATTGACACAGGAGTAGACAATAATAAGAGCAAAGAGCAGATCCAAATTGAACCTAAATGGAAAAGGGAACTACTTATAATGGTGGGTAGTGTTGGGTTCAGTAAGCTGAGTGAATAAGTCAAACTGAAGGATGCAAATCTTTCACGCAAATATTTCAAACCATAGATCCCCATGTAAAATGTATAATGAAAAACTCCCATTTCACCTCAATGACTAACACTAACAACTGTCTGTCCCATACACTTTTACTCTCTCTTCAAGGTGAAGTGACAGTGGGCAAGAGTAACAGAATTTCTTATCTGAAAAAGAATTTAAAAAGTTGACCTCATACTCTTTATTTGTAATCTGTATAGAGTAGAAAAGGTCTTTAAAAAAATAATTCAGGGCTGTAAGGAGTATGCATGATCTTAAATGATAAAACCCCCACCTCAAATCAAAGTGATTTTTTTGGTCTCTTCAATTCAAAAGCCCAGAGGTGGACTTTGCTTTGGGAGAAGTTGAATACAGGAGCTTAAACAGTTTCACTAAGACCTGGCTTCTCCTACAGAGAGCAGCCAGCAGCCCACTGGCCAGCATCTTTCTGATTTCTCCTCCAGTTAAAAGGAGGAGTCTTTGTCCCAGAATTCCCCAAAAAAGCCAACTTTTTTGGTACCAAATGTGCCACACCAATTTCTGAGCCAAACTCATCATGTAAAGAAATACATTGATTACAGCGATTTAGTCCTGAATCACAGGCTTCATATCTGAGCTACAGAACCCGTGAGTGCTACAGAGAAAGACGTGGACCCTCCAGAAGGAAACCGGGGTGTGGCCACTAAGAACAGGGCTGAATAGATTCCAGGTGGCAAAATGCCTTCTATAGGTTAAGATAAACTAGAAGTGGAGGCAGGTGAAGGGCATTCAGGATAACTGATGATCAATTTATTTTATATGATGTTTGTTTCTTAATGTTAAAAACTAGTTAGCTACTAAGGAGTGGGTGTTTGTATTTGCCCAAAATTAGAATATTAAATCCTTAATGCCCCAAGAGATGCTATTGGAGGGGAGGAATTTGGGAGGTAGGTCAGTCAGGACAGTGGAGCCTTCATGAATTGAATTAGTGCCTTTACAAGAACAGACACAAGAGAGATGTTCTCTCTCCTCTGTGTGAGATTTCAACAGGAAGGAGGCCATTTGCAAACTAGGAAGTAGGCAGTCACCAGAGGGCATCAGCTGGCACCTTGCTCCAGGACTTCCAGTCTCCAGAACTGTGAGACTACACTCCCACTGTTTAAGCTACCCAGTATATGATATTTTGTTACAACAGCCCAAACAGATTAAAATGTTGGCCAAATCTCACTTTTGGAAAAAGTAAAGGTATAACGAGGATGAAAGGGTTCTCCATCCTCTGTGTTGCCCTTCCCCCACATTTTCAAGGGTTATTTAAATGAAGGTGCTTGTTTATATTAGTTGGCGTAGAATGTAAAAAGAGCATTCAGGATAATTGATGATGGCTGCCACTGCAGAAAGACCGTCTCACAGGGAAGGATCTGTGTCTTTTTTTTTTTTTAATCCTTTCTTCCTATTACTGGTTTTAAATAATGTTTCTGACAACACTCTGCTTTTCTTTCTGTCAACTGTCAGTGAACAGGTATTGGGTCTTATTTGTGGTGTTGTAAATACTTACATGAAAAAATAATGAATCCTTAAAAAGTCCAAAGAAATGCCTCTAGAGACATTTACCTAACAGTGATTTATGTAGGTCTGGGAATGAAGTTTCAGAAACTTCCAAATGAAAAGTCTAGAACATAAAATAAAGTCTCTTCCCAATGTGCCTTTGTTGTAGCCCCTGGCCACATTCCCTTTTACCTTTAATATGGAAGATGCAGAGCATTTTTCATATTCAACTTAAATTGTTTAGTTAATGGTCTAAGAACAGCTCTCAGGAGCACCCCCAGCATAGCAGATGATTACTCCATTCTTCAGACCAAATTTGATGTATCTATTATGTTCTCACTGCATAAACTGATTCCTGGGATTAATCATTGTCTTTTTACAGACATTTCATGGATCAACCTCCATCAGTCAATTTAATGAGTCTCATTGTCTGGGTTTTGAAAGAAACTGGTCATTCTTACGTGAAAATAGAATTGATGTTCATCCTTATTCCAAATTTCCCAAGTTTGCATCTTCTTGCCTGCCTAATGAGGGGAATTTGGTCTAAGTTTTTATTTTTATTATTATTTTAATTTACTTCTTCGAGGCTTGGGAACTCAAGTGCAACTATTGGGTGAATAGGAGACTGAGTAATCTTTGTATCAGTTACTCCTGTAGGCCTCAAGCAAGTCACTTCGCTTTAGCTTCTTTATTCAGAATGTTTTGTCATCTTGTAGGAATGGCTCTGTGGGAGGATCTGTGGCTAATACACCTGGGGGAATCTCCACAAGTCTCAGCCTTGAAAAGAATGGCGTTAAGTCACTGGGTGCAGATCCAGCTAAGTCCCCTGACCCGGCAGAATGGTGGGTCATGTGCCACTGAGAAGCTGAGCACAGGACCTAAAGGATGGCTTCCCTGATGAGCAAGGACCACCCAGTCATCGAAACAAAGTGGCTCAAGCCCAAGTCATAATGAATGCTTTTGTTTCTGTTTCATTTTCAGTTGTTTGAATTTGTGAACTTCTTGGCTGAAAATGTCATCTTCTGTTACATGGGCCTGGCGCTGTTCACCTTCCAGAATCATAGTTTTAATGCTCTTTTTATACTCGGAGCCTTTGTATCCTTTGAAACACAAATTATGGGGTGATTAGAGAGAGAGAACCAACTACTGGTTATTAAAGTTATGTCCTTGGGCTCACTGTGAGGCGAGGCTCAAACCCTGAATAGGTACGTGATTTCCAGTTAGGACAAGAAAAAAAATCCTAAGAAATTGGGGCCTTAAGATAAGAAGTTTGGGAAATACTGAGGAAAAAACTGAAGCAGAATGATGTCTTTCAAGTACTCAAAATATGTTTAGCTAAAAATTATGAATCATTTACATAAAAGTTATGACAAGACATTTCTTATAGGAAAATATATATAATTTGAATTACAATTTGACTCACAAGGCAGCCAGGATTATTAAACTTTGGAAATGTTTTCATTGCAAGATGGTGAAACCTTTTTTCCAGTAAGGACTTTGAAAATAAGTTAAAGTATCTAATGAAATTAGCATAATAGGTGGACTTTCAACATCATAAACATTGTTCACACATAAGTTTATTTCACTAGGAGTACCTTTTTCTGTCCTAGAAAAGATAAAGTCTAGAACTCACTTTTAATGTAGAGGACTCTCCTACCTCTAGACCTGGAGCAGGAGTCATTCCCAGTGAGAACAGACGTCTGTCCAAAGGGATGTTGAGTCATTAGGAACGTCTCCAGGAATAGTCAGTCGCTACTGTCTTTCTTCCCTCTTGGAAAATGGCGCCTCAAGTAACTGGAAGGTGCTCTGAATAGCTAGGACAGTTGACCCTTCTCTTTAAGCCCAGCCCCACTGAGCTCCTGCAGTTGACCCTCAGTCTTCTCACTGAGCCCAAACTCCTGAATTTCATCTGAAACCTGGAGCTTACAAGGAACTCCCCTCTTCCCAAATAACCTCCTTCCATTGAGGACAAACCAGAACAGACAGACTATAAGGATGGAGTCGAAGGCAACAGAAAAAGAGATGGACACCACCAATATTTTCATAGATTTTTACTTTTGAGACTGATTTTAGTAAAATGCTTCTTAAAGCAGTCATTGTATTATATATTTAGACAGGCAATTCCTCTCAAAATTAAATCTGCTAAAAGAAAAAAGTAAACAAAGCTTGCTGGATGCAGGCATATAAACTGATGGGGAGTAAGATGGAAATCTCCAGCAGAACATTTGTCCTTTCCAAAGTGATGCTTGAGATGATAACGCCACAGCATCAGAGCTGTCACTGTGTCCCATTTACAGCAGAACTGAGCTGAGAGTCAGTCATCAACAACATGAATGCAATGAGAACATTTACAATGATGGAAACGGTATTGGGTTAACCATTTTAAATTAAGTAGATATTCAAAGAAAGGCAGAGTTTTCTATTATTTCTGGAAAAGAACTGACATTGAAAGATGAATTTTGGAAGCAAGTTGGACATATATGAATTGACATTTTGAGACTTGTTTTCTGGGTCACACTGTACAGAAGCTTCAGGATGTAATGTTTGAGCTCACAAAGTTGAGCCTTCACTTCAGCTGCATTTTCCTCAACGTGCCCTGTGCTTGTCTGTAGCTAGGGATTTTTGTTGCCCGAGCCTGCAACATTTACCCTCTCTCCTTCTTCTTGAATCTGGGCCGGAAGCAGAAAATCCCCTGGAACTTTCAGCATATGATGATGTTTTCAGGTATGTGAGCTACATTATGTGTTAGTGCTGCTGTTCTTCACACTTCCACTGGGGGAAATACAAGCTCTCTGCCTCAGTGGACCCAGTGTCGTGCTGACACCTCCTGGGGGCTGAGCAGAGTAGCCGTCTCTCTCCAAAAAGGAATTGACATTAAAGGGAACTTGTTGGCATGACATCAAGGCACAGTAGGGTCAGAAGTGACCCTACAGTAGGCATTGACTTTCTTCTAACCTATTACACATCAATTTTCACATTGGGGAAAAGTGAATTATCATTTTGTAAATTGCATGTTCAAGGTAAAAAGTGTGTAAAATAGTGCTATCCTTGTCCAATGTTAAAGTTCCTTCTCAGAGTCCCTGTTCTTTCCCCATGCAGGACTCCCAAAACTTCTCATGGTTACCACAAAAGCTAAAAGGATCTGAGTGTATACAGTTATTAGTTAAGAAAACAGATAGTAATTGAGCAAAAATCAGTTCTAGGCACCAGTTGATGGAATCAATGAGGTCTCTGCTCTAAAATAGCTTATATCCTCATTGCTGAAATGGTACCAAAGACTCCTTTCCAAAAGAAAATAAACCAAATGACATGACCATTGGACAACTCTGGGGGATGCAGTTTCTTTCTATGTTTCCACCATCATTCTTTCCCTGTTAAGAGACCTACTTCAGAGCCCCTGTATGTCTTCCATGTGTGCACACTCAGAGGCAGTTCATTGCAGGATATGTGACAGCTTAAAAATAAACCCGCTATCAGAATAGTGCAAGTAAATATAATTTGGGGCACACAAGAGCATACAGAAGAAGTGAGAGAAACTAGCATTTATTCATGCTTATAATTTGCTGCTCACTATTTATCAATCCTATGAAGCAATATTAACACATTTTGTAGAGAGATAAATAGGTTTAGGATCTCAAAGGGGTAAATAACTTGGCCAAACACAAATCATTCCTGAGCCCAGCTCGGTGAGGCTGCACCTCAAACTCAAGCATGGTCTCAGAGTTCATTTTCTTAAATGTAGTACTAGGAATTTAAGGCTACTTCACCTTCAGTTGTGCTGTAGCCCAGATCACAGAATAAATGGATGCCCCCAGGTTCAAAATGTGCAGTTTAATCAAGTATAGATGTGAAGATATGGAGGTCCAAAGTGAAAATCACCCTTCTGGAAGGACTTGAGAAAAGCTTCCCAGAGAGAGAGAGAGAAATAGAGAAAGAGAGAGAGAGAGAGAATTGATATGTGATATTTGACTTAAAACAACAACAAACTGTGGCAATGAGCAAACTTATAGGAATCCAAAAGGTAAATTTGATTACTTACAAATAGGAGGTCAGCATTGAACTGCATTTTTACAAAGCCCTTCCAGGAGTTGGGAAACATTTGTCTTTCTTTCCCGTCAAAACATCACCGTCTTTATTCTGGAGGATAGCAGTGTATTTTCAGAACTTGGATATTATATTTTAAACTTTGTTTTATTTAACAAAGATATTTGGAGAATAATGTAAGGTTTTCGACAACAGTGTTGAGATGTGAACCCTCTGCCTAAATGGTCACCAATCTTAATGGTTTCCCCCAGGCTTTGGCACTATCTGAGTTTGCTTAGTTGTAGGATTGGGGCTATAATAAAATAAAAACCAGCTGAGGTCAACAATATGGAGAACACAGCTAAGGAGCATGAAGAGGCCCATCATTTGATGATGTCTTTCTAATATTCTAAAGCAGGAGATCAGCAAACTATGGACCTTGAACCAATTCTGACCCATGCTTATCTTGTGGAGAAAGCTGTAACTCAGCCATGCCGCTTTGCTTACACAGAAACTATGGATTTCTTTTCATGCAACAGGGGCAAAGTTGAGTAGGAGCAACAGAGAATGTATGGTTCACCAAACCTAAAATATTTACTTCCTGGTCCTGTTCTAAAGCATTCTCACCTGCTAGAAGGAAAGCAATACCCATCCCATTGATGGGGTTGAAATGATGAGTTTAACCCACAGGAATGTCATTTAGCATGAGGTTGAAATGATGAGTTTAATCCATGGGAATGTCATTTAGCTTATTCCCATCATTAAAAAGACCAGCATGCCCAATTTTTAGGACACTTAGCTACATGTAACTCTGATGTCCGGAGAGTGCTACCCACTGTCTTCACAATGAGCACCTGAGTCATCTGCCAGGCATTGAGTCACTGTGCAGAGGCCTAAATGCAAGGGTTGTAATGCAAGGGTTGTAGCCATCTTGACCCAAGGAGGGCTTCATTTTTATATCTGTCTGGATTTTTGTCTTGTACACTTTTTACACTGATATGACGCTGAACAACACAAATATTTCTTCAAGACCTGTTGTCAATTTTTCCTAATATACACCCAGAACTAGAATTGCTGGATCATATAGTAGTTCTGTTTGTTGATGTTTTGAGGAACTGCCATAGTGCATTCTCTAGTGGTTCTACTAGTTTACATGACTTCCAACAGTGCATACGAGTTCTGATGTCTCCACATCCTCACCAACCCTTACTTTCTGTTTTTGTTAATAGTAACCATAGTCACCATTGGTTATGAAAGTGTATGTCTTTTAATTTCTACAAATTTACGGATTTTCCAGTTTTCCTTCTGCTACTGACTTCATCCCATTGTGGTTGGAGAAAGTATATTTTTAAATTTATTGAGCTCTAACATGGTCCCTAAGAAGCAGTTGCTGCTGTAGTTGGGTAGGGTGCTCTGTATATGGCTGTTAGATCTGGTTGGTTTAGTGTGTTGAGCCCACGATTTCCTTCCTTGTCTTCTGTCCAGTTCTCTTATTTATTATCGTGAGTAGACTACTGAACCCTCTAACTATGATTGTAGAATAACAGTAACTGTCTATTCCTCCCTTCAATTCTGTCAGTTTTTGCTTCGTATATTTTGACGGTATGTAAGTTAGGTATGTAATTAAAAGCTTACACTTGTTCTATCTTCTACTGAAACCTTCACTAACATCATCAGTATATAGTGCCCTTTCTTATCTCTTGCAAGCCTTTTTGAAAATCGCTTTTGTCTGCTATTAGTAGAGTGCTCCTTCTCTCTTTTGGTTACTATTTGCATAGAATATCCTTCTCCATACTTTGACTTTCAGTCTTTGTCTTGGATCTAAAGTAAGTCTTGTCAACAGCATAGAGTTGGATTATATGATTATATGTTTTATCCATTCTGCCCTTCTTTGTTTTTGATTGAAATACGGTTACATTGAAAGCAATCACTTTCTCTCTGCACCTCTGTGATCAGAGCCAGCAATCAATCAGAGCATAAATCCCTGCTATTTGGAGGACAGGCTCCTTTTTACCTATTGTGGCTCCTGCATGCTGTTTGTGTGCAGCTCCAGGACCACATGGGTAGCTGCCTGCCCTGTAATGGGGTGCTGCTACTGTACTAGGAACTGAAATTGACCAAGATCAACCACAATTTTCTGTCTAAGCCTTCCCCTGGAATTCACAAACCTTTAATAGGCTCCAGAGTTCCAAAACAATTACATCAGACAGCTTGTACCAGCATAATTATCACCTACATGGGGAGACAGATTCCTGCTGCTTCCTTCTCTGCATCTTCCCAAATTCCTTTATTGGTCTCTTTCTGCAGATGAAAAAAAACAGTGAGACACAGAGGAGTTGGTATCTTGCTCAGAATTTTACTTACAAGCCAATTAGAGAGGAAATTGTGAATTGAACCCAGGCCTCTTGACTTTGAATTTGGAACCTTCTCATCTATGTGGATTTACCCTCAAGGTCACGAGAACAAAAGTTAAATTAAAACCATGTCCTTTCTAACCCAATCCAACCCCAGCATGTCTAACATGACCTTCCTGTAAACTTGACTTCCATCTAGTTCCCAAAAAACCAAACACATGGGAGACCCCTGCCCAGCTACATCACATTCACTGACCCCTATCAGAAATGCAAGAACCTCAGGCGAGCTCACACACGCAGGGTAGATTTGTCTTCACAAGAGAATGCTCCAGAGTCACCTTGGTTTTCTTCATGAATTCAGATACCCACATCTCGCCCAGGACCTAAAGTTTTAAATATGTTTGTCAGGAAACAAGGAATTCAAAACTCAACTTAACTTAAGCCAGAGGAGGAAATTAACAGCAGATCAAACAAGGCACTCTCTACACTTTCTGGCTGTGTGAGACCAATACTTGCCGAAATCAGAAGAAAAAGCCAGTCACCTTAAAGAACACTTGTTTCAAAAGAAGTCTGATGTTAATATGCCTAGAGTGTTGGAGTATTTTCGGTCATCTAACAAGAAGTATGACTTCAGTGGTCCTCTGCCAGAATCTAGTTGTCCATGCTTCACAAAAAAACTTAGACTAAGTCTTTCTTTACCTAGCTCAAAAAATTTTGCAAAGTTTTTTGGGGAAGATAAGAAAGATTGACTATCGAAAATGGGAGTGTGAGTCATTTTTACATTCGCTCATTCATTCAGCAGACAGCTGATATGCCCTCTTAGGTAGATATTTGTGTGAACAAAGACAAAGGTGAGAGCCCTGGCTGCATTTAAAAGAAAGGTAGATTTGGTCCAAGCTTAGTTCACTGAAACAGTGTACTTTGGACAGTTCAAAGGCCATTCAAATAAGAACCTGAATTTTCTGAATTTGTCAATTACATCTAGAATTTGACAAATCTTTTCCCAGTGTTTTTACCCTTACCTTTGATAAGCCTGCTTGGCCCTGGGAAGAAGAGGAGCCTTTTAAGTATAAGTGAATTCCTGTGAATGTAATGAACTTTCTCTTAAGAAACATGTAAAATGTCCAAGCTTCAGGTTCCTCAAAACTTGAGCCAAACCTGCTGCTAAATCTGGATGCACCTGGAGGTGAAAGTTTAAGAAGGACTCCCAGTGCTTCTTGCTCATTTCCTACTAGCAAGATGGGCCTTCCATGAGTGTTAAAACAAGGGCACAGGCTACACAGTGTGGTGGGCCCCCATTCAGCCATGTTTTTGAGTAAATCTTACATTGTTCATGGAGGACCCACA